AAAGGGGAAAATATTAAGAAATAAACGCATTTATCTTCATAATCTAATTACAATATTGAAATTTGAAAACTTAAAAACAGGCACGATAATAAGATATCACGGATGCTTATTCAAAAATTTTCTTTAAATTTAGGAATTAGATTAACAAGAATTAGAATATATAATAAAAATTTAAGAATTCGATTAATAAATATTATTCTTTGTTATTTTTTCTAAAATTCTGCGTTTAAGAACACAAATTTTACTTGAAAACTCATTACTGAATGTTTTTTTAAGTTATAGAAATATTTATATAAATTAACAGTCATTTGATTACGAAAACAATTTTTTTCTCGAAATTATAATTTAAATGTGTGCAAAAAAATGTGTTAAAGTTTATATCCTTCTTTTTGCCACGAATCATCTTTAATTATTCTTTTATTTTGTATCACCCATAGATGGCTTGCTTTAAAACTCTCCTAACATTCTATTTAATTTTTAAAAATATTTTTGAAAAATTGATTTTTTGTACATTTAAAGGTATTACGCCAGTCTCAAAGAAATGAAGCCTGAAGAGAAGTTATGCACCAACTCTATTTAGATTTCAATACAGTGAAAATTACAAAACGAGATGCTATCTATAAGTTACTGTTATATATTGTTTTTCAAAGAGATATTACGAAGTTTCTGCTAAATTTTTGCTTTTAAGGTTTTGATATACATAATATGTAATTTTTAATATGGTTCTCTAATAATCATATGTAATAAAAATCCATATTTTATAGGAACGTGAGATATAAGTGTTATAATGTTAAAGATTTTCAGCAAACAAATTACATTTTAGGACCTTGACTTTTTTTCTAAAATCATTATGTGCAAATGTTTTAGTATAAATTTTGACTGTGAATATATGAGAAAAGTTTCGATATTTAAAATTTAAGACAAATACAAAGAAGTTTCGTGATTATTATAAATACAAATACCTAATTTTAAAATGAAAGTATTGAGGATACTCGCATATTCAGGATAGTAATAAAACTAAAATATTTTTATAAGATATTTTATATACTTAATCATAAATATATTAGTTATAAATAAATAAACATACTTAGATTAATTTAAAGATTATTTAATGTGTAGATTTAGAAATAAGTTTTTATGTTCCACGTATTGGACGTAAAAGAAAGTTTTGGAAAGTGTTTGTATTTGTTCTATGTATTTCTTAAATTTCAAATTTCCAGTTTCTTCTTTCTTTCAAAACATGACATTATTTTATAAGAAGATAAATATTCCACTTATAATTTTAGCATGTTATTTTTATAAACTTAATATTAAATCATTGCAGCTAAAGGTCCTTTTAAAAATGAAAGAAACTTGAAATTTCACATTTAAGAGAAGTTTGAGTTATAATTGGGTAAATCGAATTAAATTATTTTTTTAAATACTTTCATTGATTGATTTCTTCAACTACAACTTAATAGGCAAACAACTATAACTACATGCTTACTAATAATTTAGTCGCTGGATGAGATAAATTAAATTTTTAGAAAAGGCAATGTACTCAATATTTCAGTTATGCAATTTTAAATACTGTTATAATAATACTAAATTAAATATTTCTTAGAATTATACTCTTAAGAAATATAATATTGCAAGAAAAATGCTTTCAAGATAAAAAGCAACATTTATGTTCTTCAAGAAAGTATTCAGAAAATTTCATATATTTTATTACACTTATCCTACGTTGGATATCAACCATTTTCGGAGAAACTGAGCACTTTTTAAACCATTAATATATAGAGGAAGGAACTGTGTGGTGTCTGCTTCAACTGTTCAGTTATTCAAACTAACACTTAAAGTTTTCTGACTCGAAAGCAATTCACAAATTGCAATACATATTTTCTTTTTTTTTCTGAACCAAAATGATAGCTGGACATTAAAATTTCACTGTCAGATGGCGTAATGGAAATAAATTGGAACATTTTTCCAAAAAGGATTGATTTTGACTGACGTAAAGTGGCACCCTTTGTAATCAGTAGTAGTTTCAAAATTTGTGGTATATTTGCTTTTCCAATCGCATTTCTATTTAATAATAGACATAAATGTATTCATTTTTTATTCTATCACAAAAGCTTTTTCTTTGTGATATTTATATCGATATCATATAATCTGCGAAAGGGTAATTCTTCGATTTTTATTTAAAAAAAGTTTAAAAGTGTTTTTTGAGTGATGTTATTTTACAACCGAAGAAAAAAGTTTCTTTTAAACTTATCTAAATATATTTCTTTTAGGATTCAAATTGAAGAGATTTGTAGTTCTGAGAGAATGTTTGTCTTTAAAAACATTGTGTAACTAAAATTTATTTTGTTAAAATGAGAATTGTGAATTTAATTAATGCACTAATGCATTTAAATTGGAATAATTATGTACTTTATTACAATTCTTGAACATTATTCTTTCTTTCTTAAAGGATCTTCAACTTTCTTTAGTTAGTTTATGAGAAAATTCTCTAAAATAATATATTTAAAAAACAATTAGAACTATTTTCAAAAGGCAAGTGACCTAAATTTCACAAATTCTAATTATATTTAAAAGGGAATGAAATATATGCATTTGCATTAAGATTATGGAATTTCTTTAAAAAACCCTTTTCCGAGAAACAAAAATCAGAATGCTCCTTTCATATAATTCTTTAGGACTTGGAAATCAGCAACCGTCATAATTTTGATGTTATTTTGTTCCTTTGTATAATATAGAGCAGAGGTTTTCAAACTGGATTCCACGTAACCATGTGGTTCAACGAGTCACTATAAAAAAATCGAAAATAAATTTATGAATGTGTATACACAAAAAATGGAATCATGTTCTCTAAAATGTTTGCAAACCCATAAGAATTTGAAGATAATCCCTATCATTAGAAACTGAAAATTTTATTTATACAAATAAAGCTTTATTTTGCACTACTTTTTAAACTTTTATTATAATATAATAAAAGAATATTAAAACACATATATATTCATATATATATAACCTACCAGATTGGGAATGTTTTATTGTTTACTATCTTGGGTTAAACAGGATAATTTTATACTTGTTAGTAAAATGTCTTGCAAAACTAAATATCTATCTAACAGAAAATACACCTTTTTGTATTTACGGAAGAAACACCTACACTAAAAGAGAGGGAACATCTTGTCGAAATATCAATAGATTTTCTGTTAAAAATATAATGATGATGATGATGAGTTTTGTGTTTCATGGCGCAAGAGCCAGTTTTGGCTATACTGCGCCAAGCATTCATAGGTCTGTGGTCGGGACGGGAAAAAAAAAAAGAAAAGGGATGACAAGAGGGGGGGGTCAAAAAAAAGAAGGATCATTGGGGTACCCGGGTCGTAACCCGTGTTTCCAAAATTAAAAATATAAAGTTAAACCAGCCCCTAAATTGTTTTCGCAAATTCATAAAAAACACAAAAGATTTCACACACAGCCCCCATTGTAATCCATTCAAAAAATGAAGCTAAAAAAATTTTTCTCCACGTGAGGGGTAAAAACAAAGTAAAAAAAAATCAGGGAATATGAAATCCTTCAGATACTTTCAATAGACCTATAATTCGATAGTTTGTGTGAATAAATGCAAACACATATATCCCAGTTACTAAACATAATGCATGGGTAGGTGACACTTGGATCCCAGATTAAAATTATTCATTAATAAATTATATTAAAAGTAGAGGAAAGTTTTATAATAATAAATGCAACAATTTTTTAATTGCCTTTACATAATGTACCTATAACTTGTTAATCTACTACAAATATTATTTTAAAGTATGTCCTTCTAAGTGTATGCGTGGAATAAATAAAAAAAATTCTTTGTAGTTCTAGGGGTTCCAGAAATCCCCTAGATTGCGTTCCCTGAGTTGAAAAAGTTTGAAACCACTGATAAAAAATCATTTCTTTTAAAGCTCATTTAGGAATCATAGTAAATCATTTTATTAAAAGAAATACTTTAAAAATTATGGAAAATTCAGATAACTATGAAATTGGTGATAAAGCTAATCACATATATGGATATTATTTAATTGGACTCATTATTTCGGGCCCTTTGTTATTCCCTAAGAACTTCTAAAAAACTTTTTTTTCCAACCTCTATTAGTTCAATTTTTCTAAGTATATATACATATATATATTGTTATGTAGATCCGCCCAGGTTTTTGCAAAAAAAACAAAAGAAAATAAACAGTTCTTTTAAAAGCGATGCAATTTATTATCAAAAAACAACCTTTAAATCGGGGTTCAGCAGCAATATTCTAAGTAAATTTTCCGAATATTCCACCCCAAAACACTCAAAAAACAATTGCAATGTTTAAAATAAAGTATGTAAAAGGTTATTCACAAGCACAGTCGAGTTAATCGCTAGGCAAAACAATTTTCGCTATTCTCTGGTTGAAATCAGACTAACTGCTTGCGGCTGGATGATATTTTACAAAAACGGAAAATTTCCCGAAAAAAACCCCCCGTCATGGGGGCGGGAAAATTAGTGGGGAGATCCACACCCGAAGAATCCAGATGGTCCTAAACTCAGCAACATGGTCGGCAATGTCGCCAAAATGGCCGCCAAAGTTGTCAAATTGGATTGGCAGCCAACCTGGTCGTTAAATATGATGCCAACTTGGCTCTATCGCCAAGTTCTTATTGAATCGCCACTATAGCGTAAAGGTGCTAGTGAATATTACAATTTTAACATAAAATAAATATAACATAGAGTAATATAAATGCTCTACACATCCAGACACAAATTATTTACACTATTTATACAAAATTTGTAACAATATATATATATATATATATTGTTCAAATAAAATACTTTCTATTCATCCATTCAAGTTCAAATACTTGTAGTCGATGAAACTTGGTGTTAATACAGTTTCTTCAACTATTAATTCATTAGTTAAATTAAAAAATGAATAAATAGTAACAAATAAAAAACAACAGCATATATAGAAAGGAAAATTATTCGTTGTGTCTCGGTAGCACAATGGACAGGGCCTTGGACTTCTAATCTAAAGGTCGTGGGTTCGAATCCCACCTGGGGTGGTCTAGTTTATGAGAATGTGATTTCTTTATTGCTATACTATTTTATTAGAATAATTAAATTTAATCAAGGAATAAATAATAACAAACAAACAAAAAAATAGTCCAGCACCATATATAGAAATGAAAATGGAAAATTGCAAGGAAAATCGCTTTCTATTTTATCATTTAATATTGTGATTCTGTCATATGTAAATACATATTTATATTAATTGTAACTAGTTAATAAAAAGTGACAAAAATGAAATTTTTCTTTGTTGACCTTAGTAGGAATTCACTTAATTTTTTAAAAATATTCTTTTTGTTAAAGAAATATTATTTACTTGTAAATTATTCCATAATATATGTTTTCCGTATTCAACACTTAGATATCTAATTGTCTAGAAAACTACGTACACAATTTATGGCAGAAAATTTCAAACCATGTAACTATACTCTTAAAAACGCAGGGAAAATTATTGAAATTTAATTTCAATAAAATGGTAATTTTAAGATATTAATAATTTTACGGCAACATAATTCAAAGATGCTCTACTCTTCCAATTTTGAATGAAAAATTTATCTTGTTAAAATCTCGTTTAAAGTGTGTTCGCTTTTAGAATTAAAAGAAAATCATTGGATATTTGCCCTAACTAGGTTCCTTGTTATTTCATCACAATCATATTTAATTTATTTTAAATCTATTCTTATCGAAATCTACTCTATAAGAAATCACTAACGATCTAAATTTATTTTAGAAACCTCTAACAGGCTTTAAAATGTATTTTAAGAGTTCATAATGTCACAAAGAAAGATGAATAAAAAGAATTTTCTTTTGATAATTTCCTCTGGAAAGACATTTAAACAAAATCATTCATAGGCTTCACTAAAAAAAAAAAATTTCCCTTTTTTCCCGGGAATTTTTGCCGGGTGAATCTTTTTTTTTAAAAATGTAGCTGCTGATTATGACAGTTTAACTTTTTAGAAATATGAATCACTCTTTCTTTTTCAATGAAAGGAATACATTCCTGACAGAATATAGTTATTTTATTCCGAAGAGAGTACTCTCTACAAAAGCGGTAAAAAACTTTTTTTTTTAGTTCCTTACAAGCTTTAATGCAATCCATTTATGCATTTTTAAAAGTAATGGAAAGTATTGGAAAGAGTTTCAAAAATAGAAACTATTCTTATTCTTTACTTGTTCTCAAAATTGTATACTTTTATATAGTATTGCTGTTTTAAATTAATTACTTGCAATTTGAAATTAATTCCTAAAATGTTTGATATACTATTAAAGAATTTAAATTCATTTGGTTCATTTTAATTTAATGAAAAAATATGTGATTCAATATTTTTATATATTACGCACATTTCGTTTTTTAAAGTTTTATGTGACTGGAATATATAAATAATAATGATCATTATACTAGATAATTAGACTAATATTAATGATATTAATCGATAGTAACAGATATTAGTGATGAGTGTAACTTATGATCATGATTTTATCAAAGAAGTGCTGAAATGAGCTTTCAAGAAAGGATTGGTTTGAGAAGTATTTAAACCAGAAAAAGTTACTTCCACATTATGAATAATTTACATTAAAATTATTTAAACCCCATCCCCCTACAGGTATACAATTTTTGTTTCAAATTAAAAACAAATTTAAATCATTATTAATAATTTAATTTCTTATTCTAAGTTATCAATTAAAAAAAGGTGGAAGAAACTAAAAGCTTATAAAAGGCTGAGAAATCCTGAATTGTCTATATTTCTCAAAATAAACAAAGAAACCAATAAAAAAGAATTCCTCTCAAAGAAAGCAAAATCCTTTTTCACAGAAGAGAAGTTTAATCCAAATTTCTTCAATAAATTAATCTAACCCTGATTTATTACAGAATAAAATATTTTAAAAGCAACCAAGGGATGTTCGAGTAAAAAAATATATTTAAATACAGTAGGACCTCTGTATAACGAAGTCACTAAATCCCGAAAAAAAGTTCGTTATATGGAAAATTAGTTATATAGTGGCTCATTTTTTCAATTTCCTTTATGAATCATATAAAACAAATTTTAAATTCATAAACACTATATATTAAAAAAAGTAATTATTCACACATTTTTGTAACTTAATATACATTTATTTTATATATCTTACCCTTAAAAAAAAAGGAAAAACTGAAATAAAAGTTTCTTGACGCCTTAATCCACTTCCTGATGAATTAAATCTTTTTCTTTGATGCTGAAGGACTTACGTGTTGACATTTTCGAGTTACAAAAAACTAAGTTACCAGTGCGGTTGATCAATACTACGAATGAATGTTCAAGATACTATTTAAAGGAACGGATACTATTTCAAGGAATGAGACTCCAATGAAAGGGGAAAGGTTAAAACATGTTTCCGGGAAAAAGGGGACTATGGGAGGGGTTAAAATTCCCAATCTTGAATTAAATACCATAGAATCCTTTTTCCTCTCGCTGATTTAGGCACCTAATATAAAACCAGTTCAAGATTTATGACCACCATTAAATGTGCTAAAAGAGAAAATAACTCGAAATGTCCGGGAAATTTCCCAAAAAAATAGGGGGGGAAAAAAAAAATTGAATCACAAGAGAAAAAGTTCGTTACATCGATTATTATTTTACGAAGAAATTCGTGAAATGTTCTTGGTTTTAAGAAAAAGTTCGCTTTATAGAAAAATTCGTTATATGCAGGTTCTACTGTATATTTACAGCTACAAACATTTGAATTATTACATTTTCTTATGAGGCTAAAAAAAATCGAATCCTTCTAAAGGTTATGTATAGGTATTTCATACAAAAGATCAGCTCGGTGGCTTAGTGGTAGCCTGTCCAAGCCACCTGCCTCGTAAGTCTAAGGCCTCGGGTTCGATCCCGGCTGAAGTCCATACATTTTCTGGATGCGAAAATTACAGGCACGCATATCATATGAATATGAGGAATGTAAAAGAACCTTTTTAGTAAAATTGGCCCCTGGTAATTGTCAAAAAATTTAAAACAATGAAACCCCGGGAACCCATAAGAGGGTGAATTAAGTAAATTCAAGTGTCTAAAATTTAGTAGCGGGAGCCACCACTAGTTGGTGCTACCAATAAATGAATCTCACACTTGGGGCATTGCCATGTCTACAAATGCTTAGGTGCTAAAATGCATTTCGTTAGATAAAAAAAATAATTTCATGTAAAATAAAGACGAAGTTATTATACAGCTCTCTTATCAGAACACCTTCTGTGGAAAAAATATTCTTGTGTATGACTATTTGAAAGATTTGAATGAAAATAATGTGAGATAATTAAGATATATATTCAATGCCTCATTTTTATCTATCAGTATTATTTTCATTTTGAATTGTTACAATTTACGAATGAGTTATATAGTTTTTGCTGACTTTGTTATATTATTGAATTTAATGTCAATAGTCATAATATTGAATTTAATATCTGAAAAGAAACAGTAAAAAGAATATCTGGTTTTCTCATAAAGTATTTTTCATAGTAGAGTTTTTTTATATTATACTTGACAAATTAAAACTATTATTTTTTTACTTAAATTAAACGTTATATAAAAAGTCCTATATTTATTTTTAATAGAACGTAGTTTATATATTTGTAGAGAAAATTTATAGGACAAAAATACATGAAGCCAAATAGAATATTTCTTGCGTGAGTGTCATGTTTTTCATTTGATTTCTCTTTAATGTGACGGGGAATTGTCCTATCTTTTAACATTGTCGCACATAAAGGAAGCGGATTTCAGAGTTTATTCTCCAAGGTGCACTAAAACCAGTAACGGGGAAACGGGAAATATTTCATTTAGGGTAAAAACTATACTAACAAAACTTACCTTTTTTTTAAAAGGTTAATGGTTCCTTAGAACAATGGTTTCTCAAGCTTTCTTGGATGAATATTTTTGATAAAGTAGATGTTTTGTATTCCTTGTTTTTTTCTGTAACCGAAGAATTAATTTTCATTTCTTTCACAAAATATTTCTAAGTATTCTTTTTATATTATTTAACAAAGTATTCTTACGCAAAATAATATTTTTGGTTTAAAAAAGAATATTTTAAGGGGTCACTTCACGAAAATCGAATTAAAAATCGATTTTTCAATTTTGATTGAAAAATAAAATACCATTCATTTTCTTTCTAATGCAATTTTAAAATTTTTCTCTAGCTGAATTAGAAGTATTTTTAATATTTTTTAAAAAGTTGTTTACATTTGTCAAACCCTAAAACATCTGGGCTGCCACGCCCCTTTTTAAATCAAAACAAAAGACACATGCTACTTTTCAGCCTTTTTTAAATAGTTTTTAAAATTTAAACAAAAAAAATTTATTTTGATCAGCAGCTTATTCAGGAAAGAAGTGAAGGGAATTTGTTGTAGCTGTTTATTTTACTTTTGGTAAAAGATTGCCATATTTTTATCCCCATTAAATACAACGAATTTCGTTTTCGTTGGGAAAAAATGTTTTTATCAAAAAAAAATAAGGAAATGTTTAAAAAAGTTTTAAAAATTGGTTAAAAAATAAAACGTTTAAAAAAAGAAAGTTTGGAAAAAAAATACAAAACCCAAATTAGATGAATTAAACGGATAACAGTCAGACGATTTCAACAAAAAAAAATTTTAGCTTTTAAAAATACTTCCCCGCAGCATTTTTTCCCATCTCCGGGAATGTTAAAATGACCAATTTTAAAAAACATTTTTTTAAAAATTGGCATGTTGTACAGTCATGAATTTTTTTTTATGCATTCATTGTATTGTTTTTTTTTTATTTTAATGGGGGGCATTTTTTAAAAAATTTTATTAGTTTTTTTTTAAAAAAATTTTTATGGGAGTAACACGTCAAATTTTTAAAACAATGAAAAAATTTTTTAATTTTTAATCCAAAAAATATTTTTTTTAATAATTTTTACAAAAAAACTCTCATTAAAATATTTATTTGTATGGTTTTAACACATGTGCAAAGTTTCGCTATAAAAAATGTTTTTTAAAAAATTTCCTTTT